CAGAATTTTGTTCAAAATTTTCATTCCATTTCCATATCCACCTATTTAGCTCGCTATAGGCACGGATTGTTCAAACCAGTCGCAGAAGAAAGTATTAAAAATGAACTACAAAAACTAAAATCGAAAAACGCTGATGAAGTTACAGATTCCCCAAATTCTGAAACAGCCAAAGGAATGACAATGGAGAACTATTTTTAAAAAGCTTTAGAAAAACCTGACACATCTGGTTTGGCTTTGTAAGCGCTGTTTAAACAACGATCTCGCCATTATGCTAGATACTAATTGTTTCTTAAAAATGCTTGACATCCGCATCCGCGGTTGTTAGCTTTTAGATATTCGCATACGCATTCGCATCCGCGGATGTCTAAAATTCCACATTCGCAACATCCCTAATTTGTACAATGATTTTGGGTTATCGTGTTCAAACCCGTGATCCGAATCAAAAAATTTTAACATATACGTCTAGCCAAAGGACTAAGCTTTAAGTTAAAACAAAGGTTTCGGTTTAAAATATGCACTTTTTTTTGTAAATTTGGAGGTAAATTTTGCCCAAATATACTGTGGATGGCGTAACCAGAGTTGGACTGATGAGGTTATTTTAACTAGCGCGGCCGAAGGCTACCAAAATGGAAAAGAGTACCCACTGCTGATGGCCAAACACGAGTTTAATTTTTCTTTGCGAAAATGCTAATTTTGCCCCATTTTGAAATGGGCCCCGAGGGTGAATTATCTTAAAGTTTATACTGATCTCTTTCTAGTAAGTTTTTGGTGACACGCACCTTCCGTTTCCGCTCCCCACCAAAAAATCATTTTACAAATAACCGAACATTTCCAACGCACAACATTAAACCCTCTGATGTATTGTTTCATTGATATCAATGTGGCAAGGTAGCTCATAATTTTGTATAATTTATGAAACTTCAAAAACTTATTTTTTGTCAAAAATTTTGAAATGAAACTACCTTATTTTTGTATCATGGTTTAAAAGAAATCCAACATCGATTTGGTTGGAACGATTGTAGAAAATTGCAAAGAGTTAAGATTCCACATCATCCAAGGATGAAAATGGAACATTGTATAGAAGAAATCGCGAACATGTTTAAAAAAAACGCGAAGAAGTAAATAAAGAGAAAACTAAAGATATAGAAGATGAAGAAACAGATTCCTCTCACTAATAGAACTTGTGCAGAAGGATTTTACGTTACTCAAAAAGGTAGAAGGGTCATACCGCCAACAAGACGTAATTACGATAGTCCTAACAAATAGATAATAACCATAACCCCATTTTTCTACATTGTATTCTATAATCTAAAGGAAGATGTTATGTAAGCATAAATATATAAATACATATATTGTACCACTGTAATATAACATAATAATACAACAGTTACATAGTTAAATTAAAAATGAATACTCCTTTTAACACCATTTTTCTAAATTGTATTCTATTGTTAAACTAAACTGAGTTAAAAACAATGTACAATGAACTTTATGTACTTACATAGCGAGCTATCTACTTATATATACCGTTTACACTATGTATATTAAATACCTATGTTAATTATATATGAAACACAGTAATAAAGAGAACGTACAAGACACAACAATTATGTAGGACTAATACTTTCGAAGATAATTGCAATTTTAGTAAAACAATGTATTAATAAATCTATTTATTAATTTTAATTTTTTGAGTACATTGAACTTTTTTTGGGCGAGCCTAAGATATTGACCAAAAATTTTCATCTTTCACAGATTTTTTTTAGAGCATAATGAACCATGTTTTAGCTATTAGCAAGAAATTCTAAAAAAGTGGATTTTCGGCTCACGCTACTATTTAGCCTATTCATAAATTTCATACTTGCCAAAATGCACAAATGCACGCCCATGTGTATGATATCCATCTCTACATGTCAGATACTCTTTATCAATCTTGTTCTTGTTCTTGCTTGTGTTCTAAGCTTAATAGGGAGTTATTATCAATTGCGTCGTGGACATCAAAACATGGCCTTTGCCTTAATGTCGACAAATCCTATGTTTTACCTATTTGTAAAAAACAAGTAAATTGGTCACTTATTCCACCGATATATATTGCTGCTGAACGGGTTAAATTTGTGTCATAGATGAAGAATCTTGGGTTCATTATTAATACTAGCCTTATGGGCTGTTTTTGTTTACGCGTAAAAGCACATTTACAGGTCTATTCTGCGCTGGTAATAAACATTTTGTAACCGGTAAATAAAGTTCCTGCCAATTTTTAAACCCTTTTCGCATTCTGTGTACTCTTGTAACCGGTAAATTTTGTTACTATCTCGTAAGCTGGTAACAAAGTATTGCCCCGTGAAATATGCAATGCCATAATTCTTCATAACTGAATTGCTGAATATGTTAACTGCATTACCAACGTATCTAGAATCGTGGTGGCAAGAACTGGTAACATTTTTTGGTTATAAAATTTTCCGGTTACAAAATCTTCGGTAACGTGCAGAATAGACCTGTTAGCGCATTTAGCTTTAAATGCTACTCTAAATGCACATTTATCCATACAAAATTCTTCACCTAAATGCAACTAAATGCGACTCCATTTCTGCATTAAGAAACTATATGCTAAAAGCAACCCTGTGATGGCCGAAAAACACCACGACAAACAATATATGTTCGAAAGTGCTAAATGTTGCATTTTAAATGCAGTAAAAACGCCGCATTACCTGTTCAGATCATGTAAATTCAGTGGTAGCAAAAGTGTACAATATTTTACGGAACCTAAGAATGTTCGCAGCCTTCACACCTGTGTTATTAAACGAAAACTTGCCATACAGCTTATTTTACCGATTAATTGCTATCCTGGACAAATTTATAGCAGATTAGACTCCATATCTGCGCATAAAATTGATGTAGCATTCAACCACGTGACACGCTATGTGTTTGGGCTGGCTAAATATGACCATATCTCGAGCTGGGCATCCAAACTTTTAGGCTCTAAAATCTCCGAGTATTTAAAAGCTAGAAACTGTATCTTTCGATTGATGATGGATAAGACACCTGAATATCTATATAATAACTTAATGTTTCCTAAGTCGGGGTGTCCAAATGATTTGATTGTGCCTAGTTATAATTACACTTGTGGTCAGCTGATTAAGTCAAGTGATATTTTGACTACTTTTGGCTATCTTTCTTTTGTTTATTTAATGTTTTTCTTTCTTTTATAAAAGGTTACCTAACCAGCGCCACATAAATCCACATTTCAAACTTCAAAAACTATGAAAATTCAACAAAATTTAACATTTACACCCACAAATTTTAAACTTTTCATTTCGAATTTTGGGTATGCAGTTTTGTAGCTCATTAAATTTTAGTAGGTTAAAGTGCAGATTTCAAGACGCTAGAAAATCTCGTTGATTTGTAATATTTTTTTTTGCTGATGGTGCTAGGCATTCGTCGAGCATATTTTATATGGAAGAAAATGCACAAAAGCTACAATACTGCATACCCAAAATTTTTTCTAAAAGTTCTGAAGAAAAAGTTTAAAATTTTCGGCTGCAAATGTTAAAGTTTGTTGAATTTTCATAATTTTTGTACCAAGTTTCAAATGAGAATTTATGTTGGGTTGGTTAAGAAAAGTGCTAGACTTTTATAAAAAAAGAATATAACCATTAAATAAACAAAATAAAAATAGCCGGAACTAGTCAAAATGTCACTTGACTTAATCAGCTGGGTATGACATGTGCAAGACTATTTTTCGTCAATGCTGTTCGTATATGGAATTCCGTTCCATCTTCCATTCGCAGTAGTTTCAATAGAAGCAACTTTAAGAAAATTTTGTACACGTACTTCCAAAAATAAATTTATGTTCTTAAGTTTGTGTTTCGCTATCTACATTCGCTTTACTTTCGCTCCTACATCATTGTAACTAGTATTTATTCTATTTAATCTTAGTTTTAAGTATGTTTAATCTTAGTTTTAAGTCTAATACTCAGTCGTTTTTTATGTCATAATCACCGTTGTGCTATAAAAGAGCTTTCACGCTCTTATTGTTCTAATAAATGAAATGAAAATGAAATATTTATCACCTGGGAGCGGATTTTATGGAAATTGCCTTTTTTCTGCTAAAGAGATAGAGTATATTCGATTAAGAATGTCCATGATTTAGCTTTACCTGATTCCATATATACACATTTGATGTTGCCTTTTTTAAGATATTTGCCTTTGTTTGCCTTTTCTACCTTAAAGACCAGTATGCAGCTCTCAAGAAAAGCAAAAACTCCATATAAAATGACGTACAAGAAATGGCTAAGAGGTTTTCTTGTGTCAAATTTCCTTAAGGCAGTACGGATTCTTAAGAAATTTACTACGCTTTCTTGTACGGTTTTCTAAAGTTTTTTTTTTTGTGAAAAAAGAGCACAGGCAACCCATTTTTACAACCGAAATATATGCCCGTTCCATTATTTCTTGAGGAAAGAGTGAGGCAACTGGATGTGAAGTATCAGATGTCAAAATTCCTTGGACACGAAATGATGGCAATTTTTCTCTTGTCCGTTTTCGTGAGAGCCGCATACTGGCCTTTAGTTGCCCTTATTCCTTATAATATGAAAGTTTTAAACGTTCCACATTTAAATTGGGCGCCACTTGTATCAACTCACGTGGAGCGCACGTTTAGGGCCTTTAAGGCTTTTCTTCGCGAAAATCGAATGAAAATGCTGCCATAAAACTTCAAAACGCATCTTGTGGTTCAATGTTACTAGAACTGTGGAGAATAAAGTTTTGTGAGTTAAAAACTCGAAAGGAGAAAATAGTCAAAGTAGAAATTTTTCATATAATTAAACTAGTTCATAGTTTTTCTCCTTTTACTTGTAAAATAAACATTTATAAAATAGATGTATATTTTGATTATTTTTCGTTATTTTATTTTGCCTTTTTTATAGGTTTTTAGGTCCTAAAAATCCCCTGTTTATTACACTAATGATACTCTTAGTTAATAAATTTCAACCTGTTTTTTGCAGACCTTAGGATTTCATCAGAAGATACCAAAATGGTCGGTTGAGAGTGTGCATTCAAAGAATTTAGTAGCTATTCTCCATTTATTAGTTGCACTTGCCCGATACTTCAGAGCACCAATTCGCTTACCGGAAAATGTTTTTGTTAATGTTGTCATTGCTCAGAAGAGCGGTGGCCTTTTAAATGCACAGTAAGCAATTTGTTATTTTGTATGTACGATTGAAGCAAATGTTTTAAAATACATATACTTTTATTTAGGAAATTCCAAGAACAAATAACTTCTGAATATGATGATGTAGGTATGCGCTGTGACAAAGATGCTTTCGATACACTTTTTGACTGTGCTCCAGATAAATTATCTGTTGTTAAAAAATCGCTCATAACTTTTGTAAACAAGCATTTAACAAAGTTGAACTTTGAAATAACCGACCTTAACTCAGATTTTCGAGATGGCGTATATTTGTGCTTATTAATGGGTTTGCTTGGTGGATTTTTCGTCCCATTGTATGAATTTCACCTTACGCCCCAGGATGTGGATCAAATGGTTTCAAATGTAGCATTCTCCTTTGATTTGATGCAAGATGCCGGATTACCGAAACCCAAAGCTCGACCCGAGGGTAAGTAATAATAGTAACTAAGTACAAATAACTGAAATAAATACAATTGATAGCCATATAAGAGCGAAGTTGCCTGAAAACTGAATTTGATAGTTGAGAGACAGATATTTTTACCAAAAAGTATAATAAAGATCTACACTTCTAAAGGACGGAGCAAAAAATAATTGATTCTATGATAGTCCATATCAAATGGAATGAAATAATTGGCAGGAACATTTTGATAAGTCGATTTGATAAACATTGCACAGCCAATTTCTTTTGTTTTTCAAATAGAGAACTTTTCCAATAATGATTACCGTTTCTTAATGGAAAACGAAGGCTTAGCAAAACCATGTGCGTTAATTAACATTTTCAATTTACCTTTTTGTCTTACTATGTCGCGCGCACACAGCAAAGCCAATAAATTGGCTGTCTTAAAAATTATTAAGGAAAAAAAGTAAGATTATGTTCAAACAGGGGCCTAATTGGCAATTAAGAACCTTTTCACCAATTTAAGCCTTAATTGTTACCCAATTTATCATACAGAAATTCAATTTATTAATTGCCAATTAATTATTAATTGGCAATTAATTTGTGTCAGATTCTCTATGCAACCCTGCTAGGTATGTTTAATTTTGACTTGGAGGTATGTTTATTGAACAAAGAGCAATCAGCTGTTTGTTTCTGGCCCCTTTTACAGCTGATATTCCATCAGGGATGGAAAATTTAATTACAAAATTGTACCTAATTTACGGAAAGCTTTATCTAAAAGTGGATAGATGTACCCAAAAAGTAAATATGTATTTCTATATAAAGAAGATAGGAGGATAAAAATTCCCATCGATACCACATCAACTTCTGTACTCACATTAAACAAATTTTGGCTATGAAAAGAATCTCTTCGAGCAGCGCGAGACAAAACTATGTTGTAGAAAAGGTGAATTAATTTCCTCCCAGTTCTCCGATCTGACGTTTAAAAATAAATATTTTCCGGCTATCTGGCGAAATCAACTACAATTGCGTTACTTTGACCACCTTTTTGTATCATTGTATGCCCCTTCAAAAAGGAGGGAAGGTATTGGACCAGTTGCCCGCAACAGAAAATGCATTGAAATGTCAATAAAAATAAGAACTGATTTCCTGAGAAGCTATTTGGCTACTTTCCAAATGTACCTAAAATTGTGTGTTTGTACCGAATGCACTTTCAAACTAAATAAAGGTACAATTGTACCAAATTTTCCATCACTGTAGGTAATCCAGCAGCTGATTTCGTATCGCTAATTGCGCAGCTGACATATGTGTGAACACAAAACTCAATTCCGCAATTTAAAGCTTAATTGCCTCAGCTAATTGGCCTGTTTGAACATAGTCTAAGAACGTCTTGACTGTCATATGTATGTTTACATAAATAACTATATTTTTCTACATTTTAGGATTATTTATTTGGATCTTTCCAAAATAACTCAATAACAAAACACACAAAAACCACATTAAATTAATTGAATGATTTCCGTACTGGTTAACAAATTGGTACTCTGTAACCTTAGGGGCGTCTGTGTTTATCATTTTTTTTGGCCATTTTTTGTGGCTGTATTTTGCGTAAATTACGGTCAACAAATAGATTTATCCATCAATGGATTACTCTATATATCAATAATTTGAGGACCCCATGCATTTGACCAATTCCGTGATATTGGCTACCATTACCTAACCAGTGCAGAGTCGATAATAATTGCTTTGCCTACCATATACCCGAAATTTTTCTACTGCACGAATATCTAAACAGTAGTTGATATGTTCTTTTATGACACGCTGTAACGAAGCGTTTTTGTTGCCACGACGCTTCTTCCACAATGCTGGGGTATACTCGCCGTGTCCAGGGTTCGTTACAATAAATTTGTAGGTTTCGGGGCTCTGGTAAATCGTACTTTATTAGATTATTCTCTTACTTACTATCAAACATATAACAAAATACCAATTGGGAATATTCGGTAGCGTTACTTGCAGTGGCTGGGTAACGGTTCTTTGTTCCGTTACTAGCCCGTTAGGCTGTACTATTGGCAGCAGTACTAGTGGGCAGCGCTCTGCTTACGCCAATGAATGGCCGCGTCGATATGTAGCGCTCTTGCAATGTAGGTGAGTTGCGCTCTGGTCGTGCCGGTGAGTGGCGCTCTTGCAATATCGGAGAGTAGCGCTCTGATGCCGTTGACAAGTGGTACTCTGGTCGCGCCCTGACGTCGATGGCCAGTGGCGGTCTTGGTCGCGCTGATGAGAGGCGCTTAGCTAAC